TGCAGGCATAAGCTTATTGATGACATGCTAGTTTATCATTTCTTAGCTGATGAAATCTCATGTTTTTTGTGTTTGCTTAATGCTTGCCATTTGCCATTACAGTCGATGCTACGGCTTCGATGTCTACAGCGCAGCGTGACAATTCAAGATAAGTGTCGTCCACAATCACTCACAGCTCAAGTGAATCGATCACCCCAGCGGTCTGCCATTAAGCATCTCAGGTATAACTCTTTTACTCCATTCTGGTCATTAAGAAGTACATAGGAGACATTTATATCCTTTGAATTGATATTTAAACTATTTCCCTTTTTTTTTCCATTGTATCCCGTTCTGTTTTTGGTACATTTTTCATTGTACTTGATTCAAGTTAAAGAGATGAATTCTTATCGAACCTGTATGAATTTGAATCACACAGTTTTACATTAAGAAAGTTTCACCCTCTATAAATCACCTGTATGCAAACCATTTTTAATTTATTGAATTAGATTTTCTTTTATCTTTTATCAGCCTATTAACACGAACCTTAACTACATCCAGGGAGAAGTTTAGCAGTGGTGCTGAGCATCCCGTGACAGCCCAGAATGATTCAGCTACTCCAAGGTGCCTTAATAGGGAGGTGTCAAACAACTCGATACAGTTTGAGAAAAGCTGCACTTCCAAACCACAAAGTGAAGATACTCATTCCCAAAAAGTGACTTCCGCTGGGCACCAGAGTACATGGCCAGTTAATCGCTTGACCATGAACACAAATGAAGATCTTCATAAAGAGACCAAGCCAGCTTCAGATGCCGTACCACAGAAAACGAGCTCGGAAGCAAGATGCACAGAGGCCACCACATCATTGGAGGGTCAATCTGAGAACGAGATGGCAAAAGAACAAGGGTCGAACAGCCAACAGCATCCCTTCCTTGACTCACAGGAAATTGTGGAAACGATATCATCTTTGAATGTCTACACTCAAAATAAGGTTGCAAAAGAACAAGATAATCACAACCACCAGCTTTATCTTGACTTGCAAGAAACCACAGAAACAACAACATCCTTGCATAGTTGCACAGAGAATGAGATAACTGAAGAACAGGATATTGGTGACCAGGAGAATCTCTACCCTGGCTCTCAGGAAACTGTCGAGACCGCAACATCCTACAATGATCCAGATGAGAACGTGATAACTGAAGAACTGGAGGATCATTACCAACAATATTTTGCTCAAACAAATTATGACTGGTTTAGTAATATATCCCGACCCAGAAGCTACTGGGAAGGCTTACGGCAAGCATGGTACCAAGAAGTGCTTAACAGCACCTCAAAAGATGAGGAGATACGTCAGCTCCTAGAAAGGTATATGATCTTCTGTCATCATCTACTTTTTGCCTGTTTCTATCTTTTATCCTTCTATGTTGACTTCTTCTCCATGGAATTCATCATTCAAAAGATTGGAATAATTCATATGCATGTAAAACCGTGGAAAATGAGATAATTAAGGTTATATAAATGATGAAGCTTATGAGCATTAAGCAATGACTACCTAATGGTAACATAATACTTCGCTCTCATGTGAAATTCAGCATCTTAATTTCCTATTT